GGTGTATGTCTGTTCTTGTTCCAGTACCATGCAGTTTTGATTAGTATGACTTTGTAGTATAGCTTGAAATTTGGGAGTTTGATTTCTCCATTCTCTTTCTTTTTAGTCATGAGAGTTTTGGCTATTCAAGGTCTTTTGTGATTCCATTTAAACCTCATCAATAAATTATGCTTTGAAAAAAACAAAAGGGATTGGAAAGGGAGAAGTTTATATGCTTGTAATATTAATCTCCTTATTTACCATTACTTATTTACTCTCCATTTCAGGATTTTCTACTTTTTCTCTTTCTCTTTTTGCCATCCTAGGGAGAACTGTTACATCTCCAATCTTTATCTTCCCCAAAAGTGTGATTTTTAAAGAGCTAAATAAGTCAGAAATGATGATTTAGTGTGTTGAATGATAGGTTGAGGCATGAGGTATCCATGACCTAACCCCTATTAACTGCAAATGTAAACTTATTTGTAAGTCTTTGCAGGTGTAACTAAGTTAATCTTCTTAAAATGAGATCCTCCTATATTTACAGTGGGTCCCAAATCCAATGACTGATGTCCTTAAAAAAAGGAGAGGGAGATTTAACATAGGAGCAGACAGGAAGAAGGCCATGTAAAGATGGAAGCAGAGATTGGAATTATACTTCTACAAGCCAAGGAATGTCAGATAAAGCAAATGATCCTCCCCTAGAATTTCTGGCACTGGTGATACTTTGCTTTCAGACTTGGCCTCTAGAACTTGAACAGAACAAATTTCTGTCCTTTTAAACTACCCAGTTTGTGGTAATTTGCTTTGGTGGTCCTAGAAATTAATATGCCTATCCGGTAACATTCCAGATTTTTTTTCAGTATAAATCCATATTTGGTTTAGTTTATGAAATTTTCCTTCCATCTCCTAGTAAGCCTTTGGCCACAGAGTTAAGAATGGTGATTTTAATATTAATAAAATAATTCAAAGTTAATTTTTTAATTATTATTTTAACATATATATTTTAATAACTTTCTTTTTATCAAATGAGTCATTATAGTCAGGAAAATAACAGGGAAGTTGTGCCAGATTATTGATTTGTTACTTATCTCGAAATTCACCTCTATTGACTATTTATTAGAATGGATCTGGGCAATTTAAATATATTTCCTTTGTCAGATAGAACTTTAATTTTGCAGTATAGGAAATTGGAGAGTGCAGGCAGAAAGGTTTTTCCTTCCTGTTTCTGTCTTATCAATGCTTAGGCTATTCTTATAGCCTGTACAACTTTTTTCCAGTGCCTGGCTCCTGTGGTAGATAATTCTGGTAGCACCAATATCTTCCTCTGGCAAAGCCTTTTTGGTAGCTTCATGAAGTGCAGCTAGTGAGACACTTACCTGTGAACATCTTTCTATGCACTATAGAGGTCTCATTCTAGATGGTGGGGATTCTAGAAAGTTCCAGCAGTTTTTGGAGGTTGGAGGCTCAGCAAGTTCTATCTAGAAAGTTCCACTGCATCTTTTCTCTTACTAAATAATCCTTAGTTGTGACCTCTCCAAGAAGGTATGACTCTTAGCCCTCAGTGGGATGTAGAGCTTGAGGGTTCTCTGTCTTAGAGGGGTAGTGACTATCATATATTTATCTTCGATTTCTATATTCTTTTAGTGCTCTCTTTATTAAACACTACCTTATTAATTCAATATCCTTATATTGTTACCAGTTCTGCATCTTCTATCATCTCTATTCAAACTACTGTGTGCCTTGTCTCTCTTGGTTGAACCCACACTGACACTGATCACTGAAATAACTATGCCAAATTTTTCAAATTTTCAAAAGTGACACCAATATATTAACATGACTTTCTCATTTTTTAGAGAATTATTTTTTATATATTTATGTATGTAAAAACTAGAGTTAGGCCAGGGGTGCATGGAATGAGAGATTTCACTAGAGACAGAGTGGGGAGCAGAACAGGTATGCCGTGCCCGCATGGCAGAGATACAAATCTGAGCGGGGGACGTCGAGGTTGAAGAAGCAGCTCACACAGTTGGTTGCAGCAAAATGTCTCTTTATTGTTCCCTCCAGCCTCCCTTTTATACCCTTAGTACCAGGGTGTTAGCCTGGGGCCAGAGGAAGTCTCCCTCACATGCCTCACTGCCATCAGGGCAGATATTGACCAGCCTCTCACAGGTTGATCAACTCACACAGGTGGCAGACAAAACAGGATGTTTTTCTTCCTGTTATGATCTTGTGCTTAAGCTCCGGGGGTGGTTGGGGAGGCTCATCCCAGCTGGGACCCAACACAGGTATATCTACTGAAATACACTGTTGAGGGGAGTAGCAGGTAAGATATGAAAGATCAGCTGTGCCATGTGGGTCACCTCCCTGGATGGGATTGAACTGATGCTACAGTGCCTGACGATAGGTTGATAGTGCTGGGACTTTGTCACCAGGAGGCCTCACATGACTTTTCAAAAAGCAATTCCTATGAAATAGCTATAGTCACTGTTATTATTTACATTTTATAGCTGAGGAATAAAGTTCCCAGTATTTAAATAAGTTGTCCAAATTTATACAGTCATTTTATCATCTATAAAAGGGATAATAATAGAACCGTATATTTAGGTTCATTGTAAAGATTACAGTAGAGGGTCTCCCTGGTAGCCTAGGGGTTAAGGTCTCAGTGCTTCCATCCCTATGGCCTGAGTTCAGTCCTTGACCAGGGAGGTAACCCACATGGCACAGCACACCTCTCCTGGTTCACCCACTGCTCAACTTACTAGTGTAATTCAGTAAATCCACCTGTTCTGCTCCCCTCTCTGTCTCTGGTGAATCCTCTCACTGCGCCCCCCCCCACCTTTGGCCTGCACACCAGTTCTTCTATACAAAAATAAATAAAATCTTTAAAAAGAGATTACATTAAATAACAGGGAAAAGGTTTAGTACATAATAATGGCTTGGTAAATGTCAGTTTTTATATGTATATTATACTTGAAGTATAAAAACATATTGTCTGGTATTTTGTTGAATCACTTACAATGAGTTGCTTCGAATTTATGTATCTAGTCAATACTTTTTTCTTAATGGCATTTGTTTCATGAAGTATTGTAGCATAACAACTGAAGATCGGCCAATCATATCCCAATTACTTAATGTGAACACTGCATTATAAGGGGAAAACATAGCCAGAGTGAGGACTAGCCAACTTTAAATGTTTGTCAACAGAATGCAATTTTAGGTCCATTGTGGTCAACATCTGAGTTCCTGAGGTAACCAAGTTCCTAAAGATCCTTCTCTATTTTTAAAAAGTGATTTGTCAAATTTGGACATGTCAACATAAATGGTATATGAGGTTAAAAAGATCCATCTCTGGTCTCATCAGATTTAAGTTTTATTAATTACTACTTCTGGTTAGGCTTGAGGTTAAGGAAAAGTAGGGAAGAGATTGTTTATTACATGTGTTACTTTATAAATCCTCTGCTCACTGAAGACTGAGTAACCAAATGCTAAAAATGGTTTTGCAACAGGGTGGTCCCCAGGAAAAAAGGAGGTTCCAGGTTCCCTGCCCTACCCAAAGGAGGGTGGAGAGAGCAGGGAGGAGAAGAATCTGGAGAGGAGACTGAAGAGGAAGGAAGTAGGATGGAGAGCCAGAAAAGAGACCTGAGGGAGGCACATGGAGCAGAGAGACATGTGAAAAAATGGCTCTTGTTTCTTGGCCTTGGACTGGTTGAAACAAATGTGGGTGAGAGACCCATGGGGAGATTCACTATGGCAGTGTTTATCTTGATTTTGATTTTGCTGTTTTCCTCCCAGACCTGTCTGTCCATTTCTGACCCTTTTCTATGGGTCCCTGCCAGAAGGTGCTTTAGACTTGTGGTGTGCTTTCAGGTCTTGCTTTGGGCCAATCCCTTTTGGGTGGACTTTTACTCCACAGGGGATGGGTAACATTTCATGCTTGATTTAGAAACTATATTCTTTTTTGTATTACACACTGATTTGTATTACAGTTCCTTTCCATTAAATGTCTTATATGTTTTACCTTGATGTCTCGGATGGCAGAACCTATTTAGAGTGGGCAGGTTTGGGGTGCCCCTCTCTCCCTGTCCTAAACAACAAAAAAAGTCCTAAGGTTGTAGGGGAAAAAAATGCTTCATGTCTGACAGCAAATTACTCATTTGTCACAAGCAGAGCCTTTTTTTTTTTAGTTGTACTAACAAATATTTTTGAGACAAGTGTTTAAGACATACAGGTTCACACTGCTTCAGGTGCATGTTACCACACAACACCCATCACCTAAGTACCAATAATCCTCCGCCATCTCCCAACCTTTGCTTCTATCCCTCTTTTGCAGCCAGATTCCAAGAGTTTGGCTTGTTTTCCTCGTTTTTTTTTTTTTTTTTTTTGCTGTTTTTATAATCAGTGGACTTTTTTGAATAGATCTTTCATTCTAACAATGCGTCCAATTGCTCTGGACTGACAACACAGCATTTTCAGCTAGTTAACAAAAAATATTTTAAAGTGAAACACGTGAGAACCAAGTAAGGGCTCCTTTCCTCCCTCATTCACAACACCATTCAGCAGCTAGATTGCCTTCGGTCGGGGTTAGGATTTAAAAAAAAAAGTTTCGCTGCAGTGAGTTAAACAAACAAAAACACACAGCTGAGTCAAATCAGCTCCTCACATGGTCATTAAGATCACCACGACCAGCGAGAGCGGCCCTCGACCGGAAAAGGTTCGACTACCCTAACAGGAAGGGCAGCCGGCTGTGAGCTCGCGTAAGAGAAGCCACCACAGAGTTTCGCGGCGGCTGCCAGAGCGTCTGCCGTCAATTAACACTTCTCCCTCCTTCCGGGAGCGGTTGCTACGCAACCTTTGGCCGGCTAAGAGAGAGGAAGCCTTTGGCCACATTAGTGCCTCTGGCGGCGAATAGCGAGCGCTGCAGGCAGCTCTCACAGCTTTTGCCCTCCCCTCTCTCCACCTCCTTTGCCCCCGCCCACCTCTCCGGCACTTGGGCTCCTCCCTCCTCTTCTCTCTCTCCCTCTCCTTCCTCCTCCGCCTCCTCAGCTCTTGGGGTAGAATATCTATGGGTCGAAACGTGATGCGATGAATCCGAGAGAGACCGAAACTGGGACGTGGAGTGCGGCGGAAGCGGCGGGACTCCTAGGCATGGGGGCTTCATCACAATAGAGGCAGCGCCCCCACCCGCCCCTTCTGAGCGAAGCCCCTAAATCCCCTCGGGAAAAGGATGGCGGCGGCACCTACCCAGATCGAAGCTGGTGGGTAGCTGTGTCCGGGGGCTAAAGGGATGGAGGCTTAGCGCGACGGCTGTCAGTTTCTTTTGAAAAAGCTGCTATTTCTCTTCTTTGCCTCCTTCTCAATCTCTTTTCCCCCTTTTCTTCAGAGCTGTATTACCTGATCGCTAGATTCTTGCAGTCCGGACCATGCAACAAATCTGCTCAGGTGAGAGAGAGAAGAACTGGGACTCCTTGGGAATGGTCCCAATGGGGAAATCGAGGTAGCGGGTTGTGTGGCCCCGCTGAGGGTGAGCGAAAGGCCGGCCTTGACCGTCAGCTGCCGGGTTCGAAGTGGGGAGGGAGGGAGGAATGGGTTAATGGCTGGAGCTGCTCCTCATATCCATGTTTCCCTTTTGCTCAGGTGCTAGTGCAGGAGCTCGAGGAGCATCAGGTAAGGTCTCCCTTCGGGAAGAGGGGAAGGGTTGATTTAAGACTGGAGGAAGCTTACAGCAAGTCGGGCGGAGGGCAGGGGCCGAGAGGGAGGCTTGGATCTGGGCACTCATAGCTGTTGTCACGGGAGTGCACCGGTCTCTCCCTTCAAAAGGGGCAAATAGCGCTGGGGTCTTAACGCGCCCCCTCTTTTTTGCCTGTGGGAAGCTATTTTTCGGGATTTCCTATCTCTCGGCCTTCTCCCTCTATCCCCATCCCCCAGTCGTCCCCGAGGCGGTAGCTATCCGGCCGAGAGAAACGCGGACGCAAAAGGGTCGGGGGCAGAGACCCAAATTGGGTCGGGCTGATGGGGAGCGGAGGTTTGGCCTTTATCGTTTGCTCCCCTCCCCCCTTTCTTTTCCTCCGGCCCCCAGCTGATTCCGCGCCGCTTAGACTGGGAAGGGAAAGAGCACCGAAGAAGCTTTGAGGATCTGGTGAGTAAAGTTTTCATTCCAACTTAACGCAACTCTTCCTCTACTTCCCCCCCTACCTTGTTCCCCCAACCCGTCCCTGACCCCACAGCCAACGGGGCTCTAGCTCGGAGCCGAGTCTGAGAACGACTGCCCCTTCCCCCCTCCCAGCGAGGCGGAGAAAGGGTACCTTGCTCCCTCCCCTTGGCCTCGCTTGTTTCCACCCGAAAACTTAGAAGAATGTGAGTTGCTTATCAGAGGTGCGGAACTGTGGATAGTGAATGTGTTACAAACATTGGAAAAGGCCTTTGTAGGGGGAAAAGGGAGAGAAACCAGGGGGTTATCTTGGGGCACGTACCAAGGACTGACGCTGGCCAATGACAGCATTGGTAACTGCTCGAAGTTCCGGATTAGTGGAAGAAAACTGGTTTCTGGTTGGTCCTGGCTTGAAATACGGGAACTGAGGCCAGGCTTAAGTCTTTTTTTTTTTTTTTAAAGGAACAGCGGGGGCGGGGGGTGCGGGAGGTGGGGGTGGGCAACAGGGGCCCTGGGGGTGGGGACTGGAAGAGGAGTGGACAGACCTGATAGTGGGGAAAAAAACGACACAATTAACAATGATAGGGAACATCGAGCGAATTTCAAAATTTGCTGGTTAGATAATTTAACTACCACATAAAATCAAAATCGCATATCTCAGATTTTAGAGAAGTATTTCATCAGGTAATTAAATTTGCATTTGTGCTGTTGAATTTTCACTAAATAACTATGTTATGACCTTTTTGAGTATTGACAAAACATGATTTTGGATTTACCAGACGACAACAATGGTCATATTTTAAAATAGAATATACCCAAAACTTGGAACTGTTGTTTCTCCTGTAATATGATTTATAAGTGTAAATGTACCTTCTGTTAGGTCTTGACACACAGAAAAAAGGTAATCTTTTTTTATTTTTGGAAGACATTCTCTTGTGTCACCTACAGCACTGTGAACTGGAAGGTAATGAAAAGAGAGAGGAGTGATATTACTAAAGTGTTCATTCAACAATATTTCTTGCAAATGAGATTAAAGTGGAAGAATACTGAACAAAGTTAAAGTGGAACTCTAAATATAAATACAGAGTTATACTTTAAAAACATTTAAATTGTTTATTGTTCATTTGATACTTTTGATCAAAATACTGAAGCCGTGCTAATTGTTACTAAATCTAGTGATTAAATTTTTTCTTATTTTTGCAAATCACAGAAAATGAAAATTGTGATAAGGGTAAGCTCACTGTACTGTTAATGGTGAAAAATTATCTGTTGGATATAAATTATTTCTGAAAAACTGCATGTATTCTTAGTTTAATTTGTAGTCAGACCTTCTGTTGAACTTAAGTGTTGTCAAAAAAGGTGCAAAACCAACAGTAACTATACCAATGTTTTAACACTTTATGACTAATGTGGTTTTAAAGACAGTTTTATACTGGAGTGTACTGAAAATGGTTGTATTTGTCTCTAAACGGGCCATTTTAAGCAGGTGGCAAAGGAAACTTAAAAGTAAAAAAAAATTAAAAATCAACTTGACAGTAATGAAATAAGTGAACAATAAAATAATAAATATATGTAGTCTAACCACAAACAGAAGTACAAAAAGAAAAACTGATATAATTGAATTTCCTTTCCTTATATTTAAAAGCATGTTTTTCTGTAATTGTAATCAATGTCATTCTATGCTTTTTATTTTCTTTACATATACTTATCTATATTTGAATAATCAATGGTATTTTAATGGCAAAAAAGATTCAGTTGTTTTTAACTTGCTTTGATTTGAGCTGAGCTCAACTTCCAGTGTAGCATTTGGGTTACTTCCAGTTTTTCATTATCTTTGCATAATTAAGTAGTCTTTCTGCTGCTTGTGTGTGTGTGTGTGTGTGTGTGTGTACATCGTTTTCCTGGGCTAGATTTCTAAGGAGTTATCAGTTCAGAAAGTCTCATCTTGTAAGATTGTACTAATTTATAATGTCGCCATCCTACATATTTAGAGTAAGGTTATGATTTTTTAATCTTTCGGTGTCTTTGACAGGTGAAAATAGTTGACTTAATCATCTCTTTTCTTCCATGTGTAGTGGGGCTTAACTTGAACCAGTTATTTTTTAAATTGTAGTTAATCCATTTTTATACCCCTACATATACTTGCTTTTTACCTTTTTGTTTTCTTATGCATTTTAAAACTATATACTGAGAATTTCTTCTATTGTTTGAATATAATCTAAAGGTAGTATAGTTTTTGGTTTTAATTTAAATTCTTTATGTTGTACACTTAGGTTTTTATTTTTTCACACTGGAATCCAATATTTTGATACAAAATGCTTGTTCTCTACCAAATATTTCTTTGTTAAGGGAAGTTAGGATAGGCCTGAGTGAGAATTTTAACAGAAGAAAAAGGAATGCAGTGGCTGGAAACTGAGTATTCACCAGTTGTATTGTTGATTAAAATTATTTGTTTGACTTCAAGTCTTGAGTGGCTTCATTGTGAGAGAGATGGGTATTTTCTTGGAGCAGTTATTTTTCTTAAGTGCTGTCAGAACAACGGATTTACAGTGTAGTTTTTGATTTAGCTATGGGTTTTTGGATTGAAATTTAGTATATTGTATAATCTGATAAGGTTACATTGTATATCAGCACTTTAAGTACCATTTAAAAAGAGATTTAAAAAGAATGAAAATACATAAGGGACTATAAACAGATGTTAACATACTAAATTTGGTTTGCATAACTATGTTTTTACTACTTATTTGAAAAATCCTGCCCTTTCAGTCTTTCTCTATATGTACACACACACACACACACACACACATTATATATAGTTCTGGTTGAACTAATTGTACTGATTAACCTGATTTATACAGAAGGCTATTAAGATAACAATAAGGTAAATTTCTTCAGTACTTCATTACTGTTACTACTATGTAGTCTAGTAATCCCCCCTTCTTTCTTTCTTAAATCTCATTTAGAGTTTTACTTATAATTTGGAACACAGGAGAAGGTGGTGTTTTTTTTTTTTTTTTTTTTTGGTAAAGCTACTGGCAAACCACTATTGACATATACAGATCTGAAGTGCTTTTAAAAACATGAGTCTGTGTAAGTAAAATGTATGATGAATTCTAAAGGTGTTTTACTATGGCATTCAAAATAAAATGTTCTAAGTTAATTTTAGGAATTTTTAGTAGTGATGGAGAATTTTGAAGTCATGATGATTGTTTTTGAAGTTTGGTCTGAACTTTTTTTTTTTGAAGATTTATTTATTTGTGCATACAGAACTGGGGTGCAGGCCAGAGGTTCAGGGGGGGTGAGAGGCTTCACCAGAGACAGAGTGGGGAACAGAACTGGCAGATCCACGAAGTAACTGCTGAGGGGAGGGAGCAGCGGCGGGTCAGGAGAGCTCTGCTGCACCATGTGGTCACCTCTGGGGCAGGCGGGGATCGAACTCAGGATTGAACTCATGCTCAGGATTGAACTCATGCGCGGAAACAGCTTTAGATTCTCAGTGCTGTGCTTTAACCTGCTGCGCCACCAGGGAAGGCCTGATCTGAACTTTAAAAAAATTTTCTACTTCTCTGTTACAATGTAATAGAGTTAGATATACTTTTTGCAATTCATATTAAGATTGATAAATAATTACAGGTGTCCTTTCATTTTTGGTGACCCTGTCAACCTGGTCACTATTTTATTGCTTCTACTTTGAAGGTTTACAGGAGTGAGAAACATATTAATGAGGGAGTCTATGGGTGTGTTTAAATGAACTAATTTTGTTAATAAACACATTTCACATATTGAAGTAGTGACTTGGACACATTTTTAAGATTTTTAAATCATTTTATGGGGACTCCTCATAAGACTAAACCAAAGATATAATTGTTCTTAGGTTTGGTATATGTTTTTGCATTCATTCAACATTTTCATCTATAGAATTGAAAGCACTACTTATTGCTTACATTTGTAGTGATATAGATTATACTGCCTTCCATTTTATATGCAGAAGATTTGAAATAATTTTATATTGTTAAGAAAAATTTTTATAACAATTGTATGTTCACTGCTATGTTTAAAAATATATTTAAATATAGAAAATTTGCATCTACATAGAGCATGTTTCAGTTTAAGTTTTTTTTTTTTTACATCTTCTCATTTGATTCTCAGCAACTACTTTAAAACACTGTATTTAAATTTTAGGCATACCTGTATTTTCCTCTCCCCATACCCAGCTCTTGTTCTTTATTTAGTAATAGCTTAATTGTTTATTACAACAGCAAAATATAGAATTATGAGAACAGAATTTTTGAATGCTGGTAGCATAGTTATTGAATCTGTAGGTATGGAAGCATTTTAAGCATGTGTAATTTATTAACTGGTGCGTGAACACACAACCATAGTTAGGAAAGAACAGAATGCATCATAGGAAAGCAGAAAGCATGTCCTGTTTAGTGTGATTATATAATGCTGATAGGTATTATGGCAGATAGGAATCAATATCTGAAAGCTAGTGTTCTTACTACTGAGTTGATTGAGCATGTGTATATGCTTATTTTTGTAATACTTTGGCCTTAGCTATTTGGTTTAATCCTTGGCTTCTATTTATTTTTCACGCCTGTAATGTAGGAACATAATTTTTTTTTAAAAAATGGATTTATTTATTTATGTATACTTTTTTTTTAAAGAGATTGATTTCTTTATGCATAGAAAACCAGAGGTGTGGGAGGCAAGAGGATTCACCAGAAACAGTGGAGATCAGAACAGGCAGATGGACTGACATATACTGCTGAGGGGAGCAGCAGGCAGGTCAGGGGAGATCTACCAGGCCATGTGTGATACCTCCCAGGTGCGGAATCAAACTCTGCTGCAGTGGTTGCTGATTGCTTCATAGTGCTGTGCTTTAACCCATTGTGCCGCCAGAGAGGGCCCTATGCATACTTTCAGTGATTAAAATCCTTTTGGAAATTTATCATTAGTTCTAGGAAAACTGGTATCTCAATGTAAAT